GTCTAATTACCAATGAGCAAATCCAAATCCCTAATTGGCTTGATTTCTCATGCTCTCTAAAAGAAACCGATAGTCTTTATGGGCCTACAACAAATATTCAATGGGCCGTTTTTGGGTTTTAGAAAATCACGCAAAAGTTTGGCCCTCTCGTATACCGAAGCATGCACTAAAAAAACATGCGTTACTTTACGCGCTATATTCTTGTTAGTCGTACACGAAACCTAGCAACAGCAAAAAAATCGTCGGTGCGATTTTGACAAAAAAAAAAAAGAAGAAGAAGTGCAAAATAATCTTCATCTGCCATATTTAATTGCAACCTGATTAGTCTGGTCAGAGTTGGTTAGGCTGATATCTTTGGCATATTGCTAACAAGCCTAATATGTAATGTGCAAACTTTGACATTTTAAACGTTTTATAAATGTATCCGCTTATTTACTGAAAAATCTTGTATAATAGACTTCATTTAGTTTGACTATGCTGAATGAAATAAAATCTTAGATGAAACAAAAAAAAAAAAGACTTCATTTAGTTATGCCAATCTGAAATCCAAGATATATAAGTATATATAGTGAAAGCATAAATTAATGTAATGCTACCCATGAAATTTAACACCACACCACTTTTATCAAACAAAAAAAATTACCACCAAATAATTCTTTTTATATACACTTGGGAATTGGGATGGGAAAATAAATAATTGAGAGGAAACTGCGCAAACGAGGTGGAAACGGAAATTTGAGAAAAGATCTTATTGTACTATTTGAATATGGGACGAAAACTAAAATCTTTCTTTTAAGACTACATATCTCAAGTGTGTTTCAAAATTTTTTGTTTCTTTAATGGGAAGCGACACGGTATAAGTGTATAACTCAAGGTTTGAGACTTGAGTGTTAATTTTTACCAATTTTTATATGTCAAAGGTGAAATACTATCTAAATACCCAACTTTTAAAAAATGTTTAAAAATATTCCTAACTATTCTATTGAAAGTTTGAATACAAGTTTTTATTTTTAAATGCTGAAATTTAACTTCAAATTATATCCGTTCATGTGACTATATAAACCTAACAAAGCCGAAAATAACTCAAATTCCTAAATTTTCTTGATTGACTCTTTTGAATCCATCGAATTTGATTGCAACAACTTTCTCCTCGAAGCAATTTGTTAAGTGATATTA